AGTAGTTAATGTACATAACTATAACCTTTGAGATGTACATGTATAGGGTAACTGTACATAGCTGTATGGAAATGCATAGCAATATTAAATGTACATACTTGTAAGTGTAAGGAGTTAATTGTACAGTGACACTAACTGTAATTGTGTAGGAAATTTATATATATAGTATTAACTTTAAATAAGGAGATGTATAGCAATAGTAACTGTAAGGGGAGTATAGCAATAGTTACCGTACATAACTGTAGGGAGATGTATAGCATTATTATATACATGTATACATAATTGTAAGGAGATGTATAACAATAATAACTGTACATGTATAGCTGTAGTAACTTAAAGTATGGAGATTCATGACTATAGTAACTTAAAGAAAGGGTATTTATAGCTATAGTAACCTGAAGTAAGGAGATATAAAGCTAGCTATAGTAACTTAAAGTAGGAAGATGTATAGCTATAGTAACTTAAAAACTCAAAGTAAGGAGATGTATAGCTATAATTACTTAAAGTTAAGAGATGTATAGCTATAGTTTGTTAAAAGTAAGGAGATTTATAGCTATAGTTAATTAAAGTAAGGAGATGCATAGCGATAGTTACTTAAAGTTAGGAGATGTATAGCAATAGTTACCTAAAGAAAGGAGATGAATAGCAGCTATATTACTTAAAGTTAGGATATGTATAGCTATAGCTACTTAAAGTAAGGAAATGTATAGCAATAGTTACCTAAAGAAAGGAGATGGATAGCAACTATGTTACTTAAAGTTAGGATATATATAGCTATAGTTACTTAAAGAAAGGAGATGAATAACAGCTATGCTACTTAAAGTTAGGATATGTATAGCTATAGTTACTTTAAGTAAGGAGATGTATAGCAATAGCTATATATATAGTTACTTAAAGAAAGGAGATGAATAGCAACTATGTTACTTAAAGTTAGGATATGTTTAGCTATAGTTACTTAAAGAAAGGAGATGAATAACAGCTGTGTTACTTAAAGTTACATGTATGATATGTATAGTTATAGTACTTAAAGTAAGGAGATGTATAGCAATAGTAACTTAAAGTTAGGAGATGTATATGAATAGTAATTGTATAAGGATATGTTTCTAATATTAACTGTGAAAGGAAATAGAAAAAATATACTTATATACTGTAATCGTAATAAGATGTATTTCAGAGAGCTTGAAAACAAAATTATTTTTTCAAGTTCAAATGTTTAATGACTAAACTTTAATTCTTTTAACAAATGTAGTTACTGTATGTCCATATATTAACAGTATAATCTCATATAAAGGGGAATACATTCAAGATTTAAGAATTCTGATAACCTAAATATTCTTTAAACGAACAATTTTGAAATCTAATTCAGACAGGTAAGTATATTTTTGATACATATTACAGTATGTATAGGCACATTAACTCTAACTGTTAGAAGATGTATAGAAATAGTAATTGTATCGAGTTTTATATTTTTTTAGTTTTAGTTCATGTCTACAGATGTTTTAAACTCTGAATGACTAACATTTTTCTGTTCTGTAGCATTGTACCAGAAACTAGATTTTTGGAAGCTTTCTTCCCTACCAAAAATTCCTATAGTTTACTATAGTTAACTATAGTTTACTACAGTGATAACTTTGACGTTAAGAAGACTACAGTTAACTATAGTGATAACTTTGACACTTTGATTTACTATAGTGATCACTTTGAAAACTTTGATTTACTATAGTGATCACTTTAAAACTTTGACTTACTGTAGTTAACTATAGTAAACTGTAGTTAACTATAGTTTACTATAGTATTTTTGTTAGCGTTATAGTAAAGGTTCAAAATTGTTTAAAGCATGGGCGCGTAAATAAGAGGGAACCTTAATGGAGTGTAAAACTAATTGGGAAAAAGTACAATGGATCTCTCCAAACATAATAAGACTGCGACGTGTTGAATGAACATGCAAACAATCAATATGTACTTTAGGAACATATGTCTTGATATTTCTGTAAATGCAAAAAACTAAAATTTTCTCCTAACTAAAATGAACAGATATTATGTAACCTCGCCTAAAGGGTGGAAATGGAATCAGGACGTGTCAAGGTGCAAGACAGATGATATTTAAAGACCATTCTAAATTCTTTGATATAATCGAGATATTTTTCACCATGTTTAGGATATTAAGGCGATAGGAAATGCCATCCATTGTAATTTTTTTATTAAAATAATACATCCTTGAACGACGTATTCATGTATATGTACAGTATGACTGGTAATTCTACGGAAAATAATATAAATCTGTTCAAGAATGTAAAGTTAGTGAAACATGCATTTCATTAAATCCGTTGGAATTTTTCATCTGTTCTGAACGAGAAACAGATTTAAACACTAAAAGTCATGTATCAAATAAATTTATTATCTAGGTATTTTCTAATTAACCCCCCTCTTTTATATAAAAAATCCCAATCTGAGAACAGAATTCGTTACATCAGAACATCTACTTTGAATTATGCCATCGAAACTTCAGGACTATCCACACTAAATTGAAAGGTTTCGCAAGCATTCTACAAACTGAAATTGTTGCTCCTGCCAATTTCTGTTATTAGAACAAAATAGAACCAGGTTTAGTGACAGAATGGATAGGAACTAGGCTGAAAAAGTATAACATAAATCTCAGTTTATTTAGAACAAACTACCTTCGTGTTATATGAAAATAAATAAATCACAGCTATCTTGATTAAGGCAATGCCGAGACAATGGCGTCATTAGTTATATTTTGAACATTTTTTCTGTTTATTAATCATCGTCAAATAAAAAAAGAACATTTATTGCACGAAAGCCAGAGAAGTCATGCAAAAGAACCGTGTGTTAAAACATTAAGTTGGCATGATTTGATGTTAATGTTGAAATATTATCGCTTTATTACAACGTCAATTTTGTTAATTATGATTATTATCCGAAAAGATTATATCAAGTAGAACGGAAATACTGGATGATGTTTCGCAAAAAACTAACATTTATTTCAGGGAAAGGGTGCGCAATAGAACACAATATACTTTCTATATTGACAATAGTCTGTGTATTTTAAATATTCTATTAACAAGCGTGAAGAAGTCTAAAATTATTGTACCTAAACTCTACCACATAACAGGGCATGCAATTCATCTTGCTTTGAAAGCTACAGGAGTTCATGAAAGCAAGATTTCTAGTGAATTGAATCCAAATGATTTACAACACATACATCGTAACACTTGAATTCCAATTTGATACTTGTTTCAAGTGTCTCTAGTTTTTGATCGTTGGTTGAAATTAGATATGCTAATCTTAGCTTTGCGCTTGAAGTACTAAAGTAGGCAATATTAAAGAACACACATATTTAGTGTTTAATGTTTAATGTCGATGTTTGAAAATTATCATAGAACTTGCTACAAACAAACCTTTTTCAAAATGATGAAAATTGATTCTGAATTTATGTTAATATAAGTAAAATGAATAAGTTTAGGCACATAAACTTTAATTTTGTTTTCAAGATTTCATATTAATGGCGATAAAAAGAGTGAGAACTTCGAACAACATTTTTAAAAAAATGCAATTTCATAATGTTTTAAGAATTTGATATTTTCATCATTCACAAAATTAAGAAAAACATAATATTCAGAAAAGTCTATTTAAATATATCCTCAAAAGAACCACATCATTCTTCGGGGATTAGACCGTATAAACCGAGGTCCCGTGTCGTAGTAGGTGCTGGCGCGAAAAAGATCCCTCACTGCTCAATGGCCTTAAGTGCCGAGTATAGGTCAAAATTTGTAGCTCTCCACCGGCAAGTGGTGGCGTCTCCATATGAGTGAAAAATTCTCGAGAGGGACGTTAAACAACAATCAATCAATCAATCATTCTTCGGGGAGAATTTCAGTCAGTGACAATTGCATTCTGCACTGAATAAGACAGGCTTGGCTCATTTTACTAAAATGTTTCTTTTTCTAGTGGAGTATATATACATAACTCACGTTTTTAACAATCGGAAAGAAAAGATTCCGACAAAAAAATAAATGTACATTACGGCACAGCCATAGAAGCCTGAGACTACACCCAACCTCCCCTCTCGATCAGATGAGGAGTTACGGGCCGTTTCGACTTTTTTCATCATCATTTTATGTTTTTATGATCCAGTCAAAAAAAAAAAAAAAAAAAAAAAAAAAAAAAAAAAAAAAATTAAACAAACATTTCATTAAAAAATCTTTTGAGTTCCATTGTATATTGTTTCATACTTAAAGTTGGTTAGAGATTTTTAAAAAAAAGTTTGTTTTATGATTTTTTCCCAGATTGATGATATGAATTATTTCACAAATACGTTATAAAAAGATATTTATGAAAAAAATCCAAAAGGCACATGGGTCTATATAGAAAGGGAAAGGGGGGTCGGGGTCCTATCCTCAGGCGCCTATAGGCACAGTGTCTGAAAGAGAAGAAAATTGAATGATAGAAAAATGTACCTTGGAAGTAAGGCGATATTCTTCGTGGCACCCACTGCTTTTATAATCTGATCATATCTAACAAATAGATATTTAATATAGACAACATATAAAAAAATGAATGTAAAGGGTGGTATTACATCACAATAATAAGTATAATTTGGCTGGTTAAGATCAAAATTCAAAAACGAATAATTTGATCTGACCATTGATGAGAAAAATAATCTCAAATAGCAGAGGGACAACAGGGTATTATCATTCATGTACAGTCTTATTTCAGTATGTATTATCTCGAACAAAAGAATACCATGTAAGGTAAATATACTGCTTACATTCAAACATTAAGAGGCTATGGAATAGTAATACGCAATTGTTTTACTCTACTTGATTCATTTTGATTACACACTGTCACTGTAACTGATATAACATGATTAACATCACTAAATTACATATAAAAATCCCCTTGAAACACAAAAACACGCGAATACATATATTCGTAAGTAACTGGTTTTCTCTTTTTCTCAAACTCTAGTTTGTTTGCAAGTGTGAAAAATTACAAAATGCAATGCATTTAATGTAAGTAGTGATTCTCCTTTTAAATAAAGTCACAAATGATACAAAAATAAGATAACCAATGAGATCGCTGTTGTAATGCTGACGTAAGGCCAACACGTGCCAGTGGCGTGGTTACAGTAGTCCGTATCACATAAGCAAAGTTTTGCTGCATGTCCTGTGATGTTCATTTGATGACAACCATTTGTCTCGTTGACGTCAAGACTTCCAATCCTATAGCAGCTTCGAATGATTCCTACCCAATGTTCTGTAAAAAAGAAAAACAGGAAAAAAAATCAAAAGCGCTTACGGATTTTTGCATGCAAAGTTGCACTCTACCAACAGCTAGCTCTCTGAAACTCGCCAATGAATGTTTTTAAAATTTGCCATAAAATTTTGTAATTTAATTTTGCATGAACAAAGTATGCAAACTTGAGTAATAGCATATACATGATTGGTTATATGAGTTTCATGACACGGAAAGAACTTTTTTTTGTGCCAAAAACTCATTAAGACATGTGAAAGTTTGCACATTTCTACATTTAAAAAAATCCGATAGAAACATTACAGCCTCTTTGTTCAGTACTATGAGTTGATTGTCTACAAGTGGGGGTCGATGTCGGTAGGTGATTATGGACGAGACTCGGTAACATATTTTATACTATTAGGCATTTAGACGACAATTTCCATATGAGTTAAAATAATGTAAACATGGGTTACACCCGTCGCAAGGAATGGTCACCACAAATGACAACCAAAGGTTGTTACAGACCATAGTTTGACCATTGTTATAAATTGGGTGGGAAATATCTGGAAGTATAAATGTACGTGTACTAGAAATATAGAGATCTCATAATGGGGTGAAAAAAATATATCATTAGTGTGGGTTATTATTAGGGATGTCAAATCGGTCAATTTTTGACAATCGGTTACTCGGACGTTTTTCCGATCGAGTACCCGGGTACTCGGTAAAACTGAAAATTTTCTTGAGCCCGGTTAAGCTCTGTTAAACCCCAAAGCTGTTTTTATCACGTTTATTAATTTATATAAACAGTTGAGTCAAAGGAAAATTATTTTTCGTACTAAATTTATTTATCAAATAAACACAAAAGGCACAGTTAATACATGAAAAATGACAAATGGTTTACAGTTTTTGTTTATGATCTTTTCATCAACTCAAAGGAAGACAATCTGTTGTGCAGGTTTGTGGTGATTAGACTAGCGAAAGGGAAGTAACGGACGTTGTTGGGATCGCTAGTCAATATTATTTCATATGACAATGTCGGTTGTTTCCCCCGTATACACTAAACTTTCTACGCAAACTTACTTTCAACACTTTTTTAATCTTTATTTATTTCTAAATATTTCTTCAACCTTGAAGTGGGGAGCGGCATTTCTATGCATGTCCGATTCGCTACCGTATATTAATTAAAAAATTTAAAAACGATTTGAAGATTATAGACCATACTTAAACTATGTTCACTGAAAACAATCATTGAAGCCATCCAAAAATTAGGATCACAATAGGTGAGAACAGCTGTGTACCAGGTGATTGGTCACTAATTACTGTATATACACAGCCACAGGCGAGAACGGGTGTTTTAAAGGTGTAGATGATGACACGCCAATTATCGTATGCATATTTAAATTATTGATAAGTTTTTGATAAAAATATGTACTTTGAAATAAGAAAAAATACTCTTCCGAGTAACCGAGTACCATTTTTAGTATTCGATACTCGAACGTTCGATCGAGTACCCGGTTAACCGGGTACTCGTTGACATCCCTAGTTATTATATATAGGAACATGATTGGAGTGTAAAGTTTTGCAAACAATTTAAAAAATGTTTTTTTTTTTTTAACTGAACATTTATGACTGCGTCACTATAATGTAATTATAAGAAATAAGAAAGTAAATAATGTGAATACATTTTAAAACGCTTTAATAAACATGATTTTTAAAAAAAAAAAAAATTATTTCTTTTTGAAATGTTAAAATTAAAAAAAAGAAGAATAAAACAAGAGAGAATGATCTAAATATAATCTATCAAAATTTGCTCTCTTGCCTTAAAGTTATTATCCTTATTCTTCTATATAAGAATTTGTTAACATCTAATTCGTAAGAGTAATTAATGAAGCCAAGACTAAGGCTTGATCCTTTTGTCTTGAAATTATTACTTTGCTTACTTTTTCTCTACCCTCAGCACCGAGTTTACAACGAACTTTTGAGCATGATCACTTTTCATTTTTTTCACATTTGATTTTTTTTGTTTATGCCTTGTTTATTTCTATTCTTAATTTTATTATTTTTTTGTACTTTGCAATCGTCAATTAATAAGGAATAATTTTAAGTATAAAAAGCCAAGTGCAGGGCAGTTATTTTTTATCATATTCTCATTCAGAAAACTAATGAAGCAATTGACATCACAGATAGTTTTGATATTTCGAAAACTTTCTGCTTGCATATATATAATTTACAAATTATAATACCTTTTCCTTTGGGAAGTTCTCGTTGAAGGGCACATTTAACGTCTTCCTCTTCTCCACTGCATGGCTGTGCTGTAAACTGATATGGTTTAAAGTACATGCCGCAAGCTGGATTCTCCAAATTATTACAGTGGTAACACTTCAAGGATACGACTGAAAAACATGGAAAAATCTTCAAATCATAAGAATATAAAGTTTAAAAATTTCAGGTTCCGCCAACCTTATTTGTTAAATGTTACTACCTACACTTTATTTCAACAATTTTACGGATATGGTGTCAAGAAGTATTATCATGGAATATGCGTTTTATGTCTCAACCACTCCTTATTTTTTTGTATTAAATAGGTTTGTAATTTCCTATGAACTTAAGTTTATGTTCTGATGACCAAGTGGTTCTTTCATCTTTGATTAGATTGAAGAAAACCATTATTAGTTAGACAGAGTATTAACATTCGCATTCCTCGAAGGTCATAAAGTAGAAATTGCTCTAGGAAATACATGCTGCCTGAAAAGCAGTACTCTAAATAGACTATGGTCACATGATTTTTAGACAAGTGAATAATCTGTCGACAAGCATGTTAGTTATCTGTTGACAAGAACTGTGAATTATTTGTAGGCAAGACGTGTGAATTATGTGTAGACAGGACACGTGATTTATCTGTAGACAAGACGTGTGAATTATCTGTAGACAAAACATGTAATTGTGTGTACATCATTTGAAAAATTTGAACTCGCGAAGAGTCTTTTGAATTACTTATATGGCCTCATACATATGCAACCATGCAAATAATTTTCCCTTTTACGGACATTCACCTTTTCTTTACACCAGATTGCATAATATACAATGTATCGTGTCAAATTTCACGAATTATATATATATATATATCAAGCTCAAGATCAATCTCTCTGAAATATAGTCATATCCTATTTATAGTTTATTTTATTGAACTTATACGCTACAAGTATGAATTGTATTGGGTTTTTTCAAAACTACGAACGATCGAGTATACTCAAATGTTTTTTTCTTTCAAACAACAACCCAATACCGAGCAATTGACTGAAAAGTATGAAGACAGAAAATTAATGTTAATGTTTTTTTTAAAGAAAAGCATAAACAACAAGGAGGAAAATATCGGCCATTATAAAAATGAAATGCATCAGCAAAGGAATTAAGACACAGCCATCTGGAAGTTTATGAAGGTGTAAAGATGCCAAATTGCTATTTATAAGTTCAAAGGCATATAAATCTTACCAACAGAGGTTTTATACATTGTTACTAATTTTATCTGTGTACTTTTACTCTTTACATCGAACTTTCCGAACCCTGAGAATCACAAACACAATAACAAATATCATAGTTGTTGTAGTTGAAGAGTTGAAGAAGTGAAGAGTCCATCAATGCGTTTCTTTTATGAATTATCATTGTAATTTGCAGTCTAAAAAATCATACTTTATTCTTTATAAAATTGAATGATAGATAGATGGATTTAGACTAAGATAATATCAACTGGATTGAAAATGATAATAAAAGCTAGGAAAAAAGTCAAGTTCACTTTCAACACGACATTTTATACAAAAATGTCCACTTCTTTGTGCTCATTCCTTGCAGAGTCATAAAAAGTTAAGAATTTTATCGATAAAAATCTGAATCTGAATAATCTAAATATGAATTCAAAAACACTTCTTCGTACTGTTTTATGTTGATAAATAACCTTTAACTTGATACTTACCGAATTTAATGAAGAAGCTGATAAATAAATATAAACCCCATCCACCATTTATCTGCATCTCACACACCATTCAGATTTCACTTCCGGTTAATCATAATTTATTATCCGACGGCAAGATCAGCCCTGTAAAAACATAAGAACTTGATTCTTAACAGATCAAAAAGTAAAGGCTGGTATTTTACACCATTCTAGGAGTCCTTTTGAATAACAATCAAAACTGAGAATTACGATAGAGCCACTACATGCTACAGTCTGAAAGGCTGTTACTCTGTATTGCAAAGGATGACAAATCAATCATACAGTGTTTACCATTAATGAGGGTGTAGATTTGGTGAGAAATATTGGTGAAAACAGTTATACAAAATGAAAAAGCCTGGCAAAAAGGAACAGGGAAATTGTCAGTTACAGAAGATACTGCAACGGACAACAAATCAACGAAAAACAATTACCATTCACATTTTATGGCGTAAGCTTATCGATTATTTCACAATTTTCAAAATACTATAAATAATGATAAATGAGTGTGATTGTCAAAATAACCATTTAAAATACTCTTTGTTTGTGAATGTGGGGATATTATTTCAAATTGCTTTGTGGCATTTTTTCTTGCCCACCTTCAGTTATGTGTATATTCCAGAATAAATTTGATAATCTGTTACAAATGCAAATTGCTGAGAGAAATATGCTTAAACGTGCTTATCTAACACAAAGAATTGTCATAGACTGTGAAAATAATGAATAAAACATGAGTATAAGTATATGATGAAGCTTCAACAATTTTTTTTTCACGAAAGTTTTTATTTTAAAAAATTAATTTAATAAATAGATTAATTAATGGGGGTTTCCACTGGCCTTTTCTCGTCAAAAATTTCCGATGTTTTGACAACGATCCATGGAAAGGTTAATTTATTTTTGGTTTATGTTAAATTACAAATACAAAAACATCGCCAATACCTATAGTTTCAATACAAATATCAGATACAAACAACAATACCAACAAATATCCAATACATGCAAAGACACTAAGTTCAACCAAAAGTTCGTTGGCCACAGCATAAGGCCAATGTAGAAGTTATATCTAGAATAAAATAAAAGTAAGCATCAATGTGTGCATCATTTAATTCTTCATCAAGTATTCATTAACTGAAGTTTTCCTGTAGCGAAACGCGAAGAAATGATTATGTTTTTTTCTCCTATTATCGCTATACAGGTAGTAACTTGCAGAAGCTTCTCCCATAATTAATTGTTACTTCTCTCTCTCTCTCTCTTTCTCTCTCTCTCTCTCTCTCTCTGTGTTTGTGTGTGTGGGTGTGGTTGTTCATAACATGTACACCTGATGCGATTTTGATAAGCTGCTTTCACCTTGAATGATTCCAATTTTCTACGTTTCAAATTGAACCAAAAAATGTAAGTAATGGGAGAAGCAGATCCCATAACCAATGCTCGTTAGTAACAGGTTTTCTCAAACTATTGTTCCTTACTTCCTTTTAATTTTCAATAGATACTTTTTAAACACTTGGTGGTCCCTTTAAAAATATTCTAAAAAATTAGGAACAAGAGTTTGAGGAAAAAAAAAACCCAGGTACTACAACTCGCGCTGATTATGGAGCCCATATTTCTCAATTTCTATTACTCTGTACATGAGAGATGCAAACGTATTCTGGTCAGTTATATTGGTATCCTTTCATTCAATGTTGAGGACAAATTACAAACTAATTTTTCAGAATACACACATATATATTTATATTTAACGATCATTTTTACAGGGTTTTTTGCAAGTCATTTATAGTTGCCTTCTTGCATGTCTCTGCTAATATTCAGTCCTGTTTAATAAGGCTTCTCTGCCTATACGTCTTGAAGAAAAATAGATGTTAGCCTCCTTATTTGCCCAGGGACTCCTTTACTGTGTAATTGCATGTCTGTAGTTGATATAAATAAGATTTTTGATTATATCGAACGAATATAGAGCACAAGAGAATGTTAAATGTAAACTTATTTGATTTCAGAGAAGTGAAAGTATATATATATATATATATATATATATATATATATATATATATCATGTATATATATTGGAAACCAGAGAGATAACAATGGTAAATATGTATTGGAATATACAGCTTTATGTCAGGGAAGTAGTTTTAACATTTTAATGATGTAAAAGAAATATATCTCACATTTGTAGGAAATTGACATTTAAGTACAGCACTGACTGAAAAAAAAATAATAGCGAAAAACATGCATAGTGTTTCATTTAGTTGTATGTTATCCTAGATTACGAGAGTACTGTTGTGCAACACATATATGGAATTGTATATATATATATATATATATATATATATATATATATATATATATATATATATATATATATATATATATATATATATATATATATGTACGTACGAGTATGGTTTTCTAAACAAGCTTTTTTTTCTTTGACGATTGTTCTTCGTTTACATCTTTCACTCATTAGAGTTATTGTTGCCAAGAAATCAGAACACTTTTCATATAAAGTTTATCATCTTTGCATTTATCCACTTCTTGTAACATTAAGACAAAAAGTTGCCTAAAGGTAGTATGTTCGAGAACTGTGTAGTTTTTTCATAGTAAATATAACTATATTGATATATCATTTATGATGGAAAGGGAGAATTAAAATTCTGTGTGAAAGTATCATGAACAAAGCATGCAAACTGCACATTGCCTTAAATCATCTTTATTGATTTTTTTTTTGTTTTATATTGATTTAATTTCATACAGGAAATTTATGCCAAACTTAAAATAGTATATATCCTATAGGGTATGATTAATGCCTGTGGATTAAATGTCAATTGAGTAATAAATAATTCAAATCAAACAATAACACAAAAACAAAATCTCAGCCCTTATTGGTGAATGAAGCTGACAAGGATTTGAAGTTTGGTAATTGTTTCTCTTGGTGTACATGTATCACAAAAACGAAAACAATGCAATTTCCTGAAAACTTATCCTACATCAAGCGACATTTTACACATATAAAAAACTTGACGTAGATGTCAGGATTTTTTAAAGTAACAAAAGTACTTAATGCAAAAAAATCAAGTATGTAATACACACGTTTTTTTCCAGCCCTTTAAAGAAATCTCTGACATTCATATTTTTGTCGTTTACTAAATAATGAATTATAAGGAAGGGAGGTCAACATTACCGCTACATTGCGAAAAATTTCAACTCATTACGGCTACATTTTCTCAAATTTTCGGGCGATCATTACCGCTACATTTTATCAAAGGGACTTACGTCGACAACAACTCATTACCGCTACATACCGAATCGGCCAACAATGGCACGGGCTATGAGTTCCATTCAATATAATTCACTCAGGAGAATAACAACACAACGGAAAAAAAAAAAAAAAACTGAAAACAAAATATGACAGTGGCAGAATTTCAAAGACTGTGTGTTTTATCTATGGATAGTGCTTAATTTTAAACTTTGCAAAATGTTTTATGAAATTTAGCAGATTTTAAATAAAAAATGAAGAAAATAAAAACATCCTGCTTCACCTCCCCATGTGAGCAGGGGAAACAGGTCTTATGCATATATATATATGTTGTACTGTACACGCATAAGACGCTGGCTAACGAAAGAGGCAATGTAGCGGTAATGTATACTTTTAAATGTAGCGGTAATGTATCCTTTTTTGTAGCGGTAATGTGCATGTAGCGCTAATGAAAATTTTGAAGATACGCAATTTTGAAAATGTAATGATACGCACCCCAAAGGAATTCGATGAATGAGTACTCATTATATATAATTCATTACTTAGTAAATGACACCTTCACTAAGCATCAAAGTCACATAGAATCTTTAAGATTACCAATTTACTGAAAAAGCTTAATATTGCTTTTTATTTAATCTAATTTTTGACACATTAACGGACAATTTTTCGCAGACATTAGCATACTATAATTAATAACCCCTGTTTCATTATACTTCAAATGCTGCACAAATGAAGAAGGAAAAAAATCTTCCTTCCATTCTGAGAAATTCTGGGTTACATTTTTAAAATGAAAGAATGCTTCTTTTTTATTTTTACATTTTAAATGAACGATGAAGTTAAAAGACAAGGGCACTAATCATGTTTGTGATTCTGTTTGAAGAAAATGGTTTATGACAAATATGCAAATTTTGTGATAAATATAGGTATTCTGTGAGATTTTGTTCCTTGGGGCATTTTATGATTTTTAGAAGATTATTATACTGTAGTTGAAAGTTTAATCTAAGGATGAAAAATAATTTTTTGAACAATTGAAATTATAGAAAAAAAAAAAAAAACATTAGAAAAAAAAATCCTTGAAAATTTTCTGAAACTTCATTTTATTAGTTTAATAATTCGGTTCGACTATTAACCTTCCTAATTTATTTGGTCGAGTCTGGTATAACGCACATATAAAAATGCAGTTCTGGCCTTGAATAAAATAATTTTTATGGCCTTAGGTTCGTGACGTAACAATATTGGTTTGTTTGTACACTTGAAATGTACAAGTGCTTGTATGTTGAAGTGCCATAACAATTTACCAAATGGCTACATGTTGGCAATAAACAAAAAAGAAAGGGACTGATTATCCTTGAACTTTTTGCTGAAGAGTTTGGGTTTGTACGTGATGGTTTGGCAATATGAAAAAAAAATCACTTTTATTTTTGTCTTTTTATGCACTTCTAGATTTAATCATTTAATCATTGAGGTCGTATATGTTTTTTAATTTTTGTTTTATTATTAATCTGATGAAAAATTACAACTTTTTTATGCCACTGGTCATAAAAGAGAATGGAATATAACACCTCATACTTGGAAATCGACGGAGAAACAATTCTTGTATGAGCGGAACGAATAACTTCACATTGACAAATCTCTAGCTTTTCATAATAACTTAACAACAACAACAGCAAAAAAAAAAAAAAAAAAAAAAAAAAAAAAATCACATTTCCACGTGATATATTCGAAACTTCTAATTCAAACCTCAACAAATGTTTTCTACTATTACAAACATCAAAGTTAGTGCACAATGAAGATTTTTAAAAAGAAATTTCTGAGTTAAGCATGTTTGAAAGCAACCAAGTGCTTATCAAAAGAGATT